AGTGGTGTGAGTGGCGATACTGGGAGGATAGAGGGAGTGTGGGTAGGAAAGAGGGAATGGATTACAAGGATCTACATGTGACCTCCTCCTTGGGGGACGGACAACAGAAAAGTGGGTAAGGGGAGACATTGGACAGGGCAAGATATGACAAAATAATAATTTGTAAATTATCAAAGGTTCGGAGCGGGGAGTGGGGAGGGAGGAGAAAAAATGAAGACCTGATGCCAGGGGCTTAAGTGGGGAGCAAATATTTTGAGAATGATGAAGGCAATGAATGTACAAATGTGCTTTACACAATTGATGTATGTATGGATGGTGGTAAGAGTTGCATGAGCCCCTAATAAAACTATTTAAAAAAAAATCAGATCATGGCATGGCATGAACTCGACTCACTGCTGGGTCATGTTCAGAATCAATACCAAGTTCCTCCTCAAGGCCAGTGCGGTCCAAGTTATCTGGCAGCCAGCTTGCCTCTCCAACCTCACCTGCTGTCTCTCTCCTCACTCCCTCACCTCACACAGCTCTACATGTGGACTTTGCTGGATGGAAAACCACAGGAATCAAGTCAACCAGTTTTGTGGAAAAGGGACAGTATGGAAGTCCATCATCGTCAGCCGGTGACCAAGGGGCCACATCATGATGAATGGAGAAAAAAAGATTGGCGCTGTCAAAGGTGTCGCTTTACATGGATCCACAGTGCTCATGGGAGCAGCAGTCAAGAAAGTCTACTACTACTACTGCCTCTTTAAAGTGTTCACAGGCAAAGCTGTCATGCTGAGGACTAAGGTGTGCGGACTCAAGCCTGGGTGTTTTCAATCACCTTGTGTGTGTGGGAAAGTCAGAGGTGGGAAAGGAAGTCTGATGAAGAACTGACATACCGGAAGTGTGGCCTTGGCAAAGAACAGTGAGTTCTACCCTGGACTGCAAGGAGGAACAGACCTTTCCTGGAACACGAGAGATCCCAGCCCCCACTTCAGCCTTGCTCCCCTGGCTCCCTCATGGCAGGCACAGTGTATATGTGGAGGGAGGGGGTGCCCCAGGGCCTTTGCATCTGCTGCTCCATTTTGCCTTCTTGGCTCAGATGCCTTGTTTGGAAAGAGTTCCAACCTGAGCCCATTCCAGGATGCCTACCACCCTACCCCACAGGAGACATCCACTCCCTCTGTGAGAACACCTCTCCCTTTGCCTGTTTGATGGCCAGTGCAGTGTGGAGACTCAGTCAACAGTAGAGTGAGGATGATTTAGCAGACCTGGAGCTCTGGAATGAGCAGCTGCTGGAAGCCTCAGCCGCGGCTGCCGTTCTTTAGACCTGCGCTGCCAGTCTCCCCACATGCCGAGGGATGTCTGAGGGAGATGGGGTTCACCCTCAGTTCGACTTGTGTCCCTCTCTGCAGCTACAAGGCGTAACACGTGAGGAGGCTCATCTCAGCAGCAGGAGAGTAATTCCAAGGGCCGTATGATGTACCCAGCTGTTCATCGAGCCTCTTCCTTTCCCTGACACCCTTCCTACCTGCTGAAGGCCAGCGCAAGACTGCCAGGTGGTTGGTGGGGTGACAGCAACTGGTTTGGGCCTTGTATTTCACTTTATATTTCTTAAGCACTTTCTCTGTGGCCAATCTCTCTCCGAGGCTTTGAGCAAGAATATCTGGGGTGCCTCTCACCAGTCCCCCAATAACGGCGGCAAAAGCAGTTCTCAAGAGGAGGTCAAGTCCACAATGGAGGGCACAAAGGGGGACGCCCGTGCCCATTGCCCACTGGCAGGGTTGGCCACAGCCTCTCACAGCTGCAGCCTATGGCCACATTCTACCAGTCCCCAGGGACCCACTGCAGGCAAGTGGTGGCTGGCTCCTGAGAACTGAAGGCCGGTAGAGGAGAGAACACAGGGACACCCCCTGTCCCCAGACCTGTGACTCCAGAGCAGGGAGACAGGGGGGCAAGTGCAGGGCTCTGCACCCCGGAAGGTCAAGGCTCCCCGGGGACATCTGCCATGAGCACAAATGCCCTCTCTGGGGGACGGTGACTGACAGGACTCCATTGACCCGAAGCACCAGGGGACATGCTGGGAGGGGCATCACTGAGACAGAGGGGCTGGAGAGCAAGCTTTTATTCTAAAGCAGTCCTTTAGAATGAAAACGTTCACAAAGATGAAAAAGTACATTAAAAATATATGTATTTTTTATTCTTTTGTGTTCCCAAAGCCCCTTTTCCAGAATCACGTGTGAATTATTGCTCTGCAAGGTTGGGGTTTCACGCCATCTCCCAGAGTACTCTGGCCCTGGGACAGTCAGAGGGACCCATAGGAAATAGGCCTCCGCAGGATTCCCACAGCCTCACCTGCCACAGTGCCCGAAGACCAGCTTCCCAGCTGTGACCCACCCCAAGCCCCAGGCCCCGCCTGAAATCCAGACACAGGGCTTGAATGAGAGGGTGAGGGCCCAGGGACTACCCCAGGAGACTTTGGTGACACAAAGGGCATTTCACACCAGGCGGTCTTGAGCTATGGGAGGCTGCCGGCCCAGTGAAGCCACCCTGGGCCCACAGTCCCGCAGACCTAAGTGTGGGGCCTCAACTCCATCTTGGCCACGGCTGCCTGATGCACCTCATCGGGGCCGTCAGCAAAGCGCAGTGCCCGCGCCCAGGCGAAGAACTGAGCCAGCGGGTGGTCGCTGCTCAGCCCTGCTGCTCCGAAGGCCTGGCAGACATGGGAGAAAGCCTGGTGAGCCCTCGCCCGTCTCTCGTCACAGCACCTTCCCAGAGTGCCCTCTGACGTCCTGGGTGGGAACGCCTGCTCTGGGCCTCACTCACAGAGGGAAATCTCCCTGTGGGGGCCAGCTCAAGACGTGGGAGGAGCATCCCTGCACAGCCCTGAGCATCCCTGCACAGCTGCGGCCACATCGGTTTAAGACAAGTCACTTGACCTTCCTGGGCTGTTGTTGCCCACCTCCCAGGGTGGTGATGAGGAGGCACAGGAAATGGGGAGGGGGCATAAAAGGGCAGCCACTAGAGCTGCCAGGGGTGGTTCCGACCCATGCGTCTGCACATGCTCACCTGAACCGCACGATCAACCACTCGGCAGGCCATGGACGGGGCCACCATTTTAATCATGGCAATGTCCAGGGCTGCAGCCTGCAAGGAGGAGGAGAGGGTGGGTCTTGGGCCAACAGCCCACTGGACAGAGAAGAGTCCAAGCAAGAGTTCCACAGAAATGGAGTCCCACTGGACCCTGGGGGGGCAGTGCTGGTGACCACAGGGGGAATGGAGACGCTGAGAGGGGAAGCAAGTCCTTGGTAACTGACAGACAGACCCAGGAGCACTGGTGTCCTTGCCGGGGGTGTGGGCGAGGCCTCTGTTCCTTCAGGGTCACGGAAGGCTCTGTCTCCCACCAAGAGCGCCACATCCCAGGCCAGCCAGGGGCTCTGTAAAGCCAGCCTGAGCAGCTGTGTGGGGTCAGGGCACTGTGGGGAAACGCGCCAGAACCTTGCCACGTGCCAACGTGCTGCGAACATGACTCAGCTGTCCCAGATCATTGGACCTCTCATCCTGGAGGTGGAGGTCACTCCAAGAGGCTGGACCAGGCAGGGCCCACCGGGGCCTAGAGACTGGCCCCTTAGAGGCCCTTAGAAGCAACCATTTACAGAAAACTTGAAAAGAGGCTGTGTTTCTGGCGGGTTCGGGATGTGGAGTGAGACCAGTGGCAGGTCCCTTCTTTCTTCCTTGACCCTCACAGATGTCAACAAAGTCCAGGCCCAGGTAGGGCTGAGGCCAGGCAACCACGTGTCTGTGTCTGTGGATCCCTGGATCTCTTTGGGGACCTGTCATCAAACAAGAACCCATACCTTGTTTCCAGTCTTGTCCATGAGGTGGGCGGCTTTGAGCACCAGCAGCCGGGCTTGTTCGATCTCCACCCTTGACTGGGCGATATCGGCCAGGATGGTGCCCTGCTCCATCAGGGGTTTCCCGAAGGCCACTCGGGACTTCACCTATTGACACAGGCCAGGCAGAGAGGCATGGGGCAGGTGGACAAGCACACAGGAGTGGGCAGGCCTTGCTTGGGTGCAGAATGGGACAGAGAAGCCTGCAGCCTAGTGGCAAATCGGCAGACAGCTGCTCTAAAGCCATCCCCTCCCTCCTCTCTCCTCTCTCTCTCTCATCAGTGTTAAGTGGAATTTAAACACTAAGAGCTAAAGGGTTGTTAACACAGTAACAAGTGGACATGTCCCAGCCTGAGGCTTTATCCTGTGCATACCACATTGTGCGACCTTCGGTGCAAGGCATTGACACCCAAGGCCCAGCGCTGGGTAGCACAAGAGAACCCAGGAGGCAGAGTCAGTCAAGGTCAGCAATTGGCCGCTCTGAGCAAGAGAGAGGCTTTCTAGTCCCACAAAGACACACCTTCAGAAATGCGAAGGAATGGTTCTACTCTTTCCTAGAGGGTTACTGTCAGTCTAATAACCAACTCCAGGGCAAAAGGTTTGGTTTGGGTTTATTTTATATGGATGGAAACAGATGGCATTTCCAAGCTGGCAGGGTGGAAGGCAACTCTGCTAATGTTGGTTACTTGTCATTAGGTTTGAAGGCTGCGGAGCTGCATGTGCTGCTGGTGAAGGCTACCTCCGGGGACTACACCAGCCACTCCCCCTTGAGCCTCTTTGGGAGGAGAGCCGCCCTGGAGCGCTGGAGCCCCCTGGTGGGAAGCTAGTGCAACTGGAGTTTTTGAACTGCCAAAACTCATTGCCAGGGAGTTAATTCGGACTCAGAACCGCCCCTGTGGGTTTCGGTATTATAACTCTTCACAGGAGTGGTGGTTTGAAACGGCTCACTTTCTAGTTAGCAGCCCGGTAACCACTTAGGTTAGTAATCACTACATCACCAGGGTTCCTGTGAACTGCACGAGGCATCCTTAAAGGTTTAAAGTGGCCATTCCCTCTTCTGTTTTAACTAAACCAGTTGTTACAGCAACACTATTATCCCATAGCCAAAAAAAAAGAAGTAGACTTTTCTAGATAAATAATGACCCAGAATCGGGAACCAATTACAAGGATCTACATATAACCTCCTCCCTGGGGGAAGGACAACACAAAAGTGGGTGAAGGGAGACGTTGGACAGTGTAAGATCTGACAAAATAGTAATTTATAAATTATCAAGGGTTCATGAGGGAGGGGGGAGCAGGGAGGGAGGGGGAAAATGAGGAGCTGATATCAAGGGCTCAAGTGGAAAGCAAATGTTTTGAGAATGATGATGGCAACAAATGTAATTGACACAATGGATGGATGTATGGATTGTTATAACAATTATACGAGCCCCAAGTAAAATGATTTTTTTTTAATGTAAAAAAAAATGACCCCAAAAAAAAAAAAAAAAAGACCCAGAATCAAGCTTTGCGCTGTGGCAATATCATAGCCAGTGAGGTTTATCTGAGGCGTGATTGTTTCTAACGGAAAACTTTTCCCCCAGAATGACCCAGAATCCTACCACATAATTACTTAGTAATTGATAGCTATCCTTCTACTACTTTTTGTACACATATACATATAATTTAAGAAAATTTAAATGGCATGATAGTTTATCATCGAAGTATTGCTTTGTAGTCTATTTTTTTTTTTTTGGTCATTTAGGCAAATACCATGTCTGTGTTAAGACACCGATTTTTCACAGCATGCCTGCACCAGGATAAATCCAACCTGCTAGCCATGTAGGTAGTTTCCAACATTTGAGTATTACAACCAGACCCTGCTTCATGGAATAGGTTATGCACTGGGTTATTTTTTTTTGCACTGGGTTATTAACCACAAGGTCAGCAGTTCAAATCCACGGCTGCTCTGAGGGAGAACAATGAGGCTACCTGTTGCTGCAAAGAGTTATAGTCTCAGGATTTAACTAAAATTTCACAAAGAGTTACAGCCTCAGAACCTTAGGGAGCAAGCCTACCATTACCATGTCCTATAGGGTCATAGGGCTGCAATAGGATTTGGTGGTTTTTTGCTTGGATGGAATCTTTTTCATATTTTTGGATCACATCTTTTATGGACTCTTAATCGTTCCCTTGTAACCGTGCCTACAGCCACCATGCTAACGCTATACACTTTCTGTAGTCTTTGGACCCAGACAGGGGTGATTTTTAAGCAGACTGAGTTTCAGTGCAGGTACCTGCATCACTGACCACTGGAGAGGGGCATCTGATTTTCAAAGGCAAAAAAGCAGGTCAGGCCTGGCTCGGCAGGATGGGAGACAGACTGACCGCTCAGCCATCTAAAGCCCCTGGCATGGACTTTATTGTTTGTCTAGCTTTTTGTGGTACTTCTGGTCTCCACGATTTGCTGCATCTTTGTAGAAATCAATACCACTGATCAGCAAGACAGCCTTGTGTTTGGTCAATAGCTCTGCTTCCTTCACTGTTCCAGCCTGGGTAGGAAGCCTGGCAGGAGAAGCTAGGTAGCCAAAGCTCTAGGCTTTCTTGGCTGGGGGCGAGGAGGAGAGGGGCGGGGTGGTGCTATACACTGGGCCTAGAACCCGGGGACCCACATGCTTCCTGTATCTGATTTTTCTTTTATTTATTTTTCTGTATCTGATTTTTCAAGATACATGGGGAGATGTGGCTGTGAGCCTCTAGACCTCGGAACGGTGCCCACAGGCTGGCAGCCAAGTGGCAAATGCAAAGCAAAGTCTGGGACACAGTGTCTTATTGGTCAGGGCCCTGTATTCCCTTCTAATTCAGTTCAGCTTTCTGAAAGCAGTGAGGAGCTGCATACCCAGGACAGAGCAGAGCTCAGCTGGGGGTCAGCAGTGGGAACATGGGCACGTCAGGGGGAACTAGGACTCACGCGGGCCTTCATGAGTGCCAGCGCCCTCTCGGACATCCCAATCAGCCGCATGCAGTGGTGGATCCTGCCGGGGCCCAGCCTGCCCTGAGCAATCTCGAAGCCACAGCCAGGGCCAAGAACCATGTTCTCCTTGGGCACGCGCACATCTTCAAACAGGACTTCACCATGGCCACCTGAAAGACCCACAGGCCACTGTGAGCGAGCTACCAGGCTACTTCACGCAGATGGGTTTGTCCTAACCTCGGGTCATCTAGGCTAGCTAGATTCTGGCCTTGATTTGACCTTCAGACTGGATTGTGGATGAAGAGCGCTGGCCTTAAGATGTCACCCGAGTGGTTTGCCATTCCTTTATAAGACATGGTGATCGATCTTCACGTTGACACTGGCCTTAAGATGTCACCCGAGTGGTTTGCCATTCCTTTATAAGACATGGTGATCGATCTTCACGTTGACACGTCCCCATCATTGGAGACCCTACATGCCCATGATCCTGCAGAAATGCTAAACAGCCAGTGTGAGCTTGAACGTGAACGTGGATTTCTGCTGAGCAAGAGCCCTGACAATGGCGGCAGAGTTTGCAGCCTGCCTGCGGGCTGCTATGCGCATGTGGATGGAATACAAGGGTGAGTGGCCCTCCCTGTCTTCACACCTGTAACAGAGCCCAAGCCACTTCCCTGAGGACCAGCCCTACCACCCAGAGGTGCTGCTGTGGGGTGCAAGCCGACCTGGGGCATCCTCCAGCCCGTACACCGTCAGGGGCCGGACAACTTTGATCCCCGGAGTCTCCATGGGGACCAGGAGCACAGACTGCTGTCGGTGGCGTGGGGCCTGCGGATCTGTTTTCCCCATAAACACGCAGAGCTGGCAGCGAGGATCCAGGATGCCTGCCGGGAGAGAGAGGCAGCCTGGTCAATTAGAAGCCCTCCCAGCAGGCAGGCAGCCCTGTGGACCCTCGAGTGCCCTAGGGGCTGAATAAATCCACACTACTCAAGAACAGCTGTTTTCAGAGAGCACACTGTGGAGGTGAGCAGTTAGAGGCAGGGGCTGATTATTGCTCTTGGGCCTTGATGGTGATGCATTATGCAGCCTTCTAACTTTAGGGGGCTAGTACATCTGAGTCCCTTTCTTCCCGTGTGAAGGAGGAACCGAGTCCCTCCCTCCTAAGGAGGTGTGCAGGACCTGAGAGGGCCACAGTGGTGGGGGTGGCACAGCCTGTCCTCTGCCCCTGACCCACAGGAAGCCCATGCATGATGCCACAGAAGGAAGTGCTGCCCTGCCCCATCTGTGAGGGGTAGGAAGCAGACTGTTGTGTCCCCCGGGTTAAAGGCTGTTTTTTGGAAGGAGGTTGCTAGGCCTTGCTTCCGACTCCATCTGCATCTGGGAGCTCCGGAGGAAGCTTGTTCAGCATCCTAGTGTGGTAGTTACATAATCTGGTGTCAATTAGAGGATTCAGAATGAAGGGGTGCAGTTTAGTCTCAATCAGGTCGCAGCTTGATGACCTCATTTGGAGGCACTAAGGAGATAAGTAGCTCCCTGGAGGCAAGACGCAGGCTCACTCCCTGTAAGACAGCCCTATGGGCAAGACACAAGGAACTACGCCAGTGTCCTGAGATGGAGGAGCCACATGGAGACCCCAGCCAGCGGTGAGATGCTTACAATGCCACTGGATCCATAAGACTTCCTACCCGCTAGCCTATGATCTTCCTGCATTCAGCGTCATTGCATGTGTTTCCTGAGTCTAAAGAGGAATTTAGAGATTGGCATTGGACATATGGGCTAATATTGGACTTATGGACTTGATCTGGACTGGGCTGGGATGTTTTCTCTGTATTCAATTGCTCTTGTATATAAAGCTCTTTCCTATACACATGAGTGTCTATGAATTTGTTTCTCTAGTCTACCCAGACTAACACACCTTGTGTGAGAATGGACCTCACCTAGGAGCTAGGGAGCCAGTGAGGAATTCCGTCAGTTTCCAAAGGGAAGTGTCCACAGCAAAGGAGAGAGCTGGTGGAATGAGCCACCCTCTCAGGGTCATATCTGTGGCCACCTGGCAGCATCTCCACCACACAGCAGCTCTGGAGAAGCACGCACTCCCTGTGGGGCTGTTGTTGGTGGCCCCTGCCACTGGGACAGAGTCCTGCCAGCCAATCCAGACCCACTGAAGTATGCCTGGAACATGAACTGAGGCCCGATACCTGAGATCCACCACTTGTGACCGCTGATGACGTAGCAGTCCTTCTCCTCTCGGATGGAAGACTCGACGTTGGTTGCATCAGAAGAAGCAACCTAGCAAAAGCACACGCCAGTCAGAGCCCTCCCAGGGGGCAGGGTTGGTCAGGCGCCCAAGGGGCCTCCGTGGTACCTGGGGTTCTGTCATGGCAAAGCAGGAGCGGGCCCTGCCCTCCAGCAGAGGCACCAGCCAGCGGGCCTTCTGCTCCTCCGTGCCGTACCGGACCAGAAGCTCCATGTTCCCCGTGTCCGGAGCCGAGCAGTTAAAGACCTGCAGAGGAGAACGGGCACCCAGGGGACCCTGCACCTTGCTTAATTCAACTGCCTGGAAGCAATCGAGCAGGGCCTCTCTGACCATCCAAGGAAAGTTTTTCCTCTCCCCAGGCAAACAGAACTACTTTATATATTTTGGGGGGCTCTGAAGTGAAGAACATACATATTCATAATTGTTGTATCGCCCTGGATCAACTGACTTTATTTTTAATCATCACACAATGTTCTTGTCTTTCATAATAGATTGCGACTTGAAAGCTATCTGATATTAACATTATCTTATCTTTAAATGTCTTTTAATATATTATCTGATATTAAAGTGATCACCCCAGATCTCTTTTGGAAACTATTTGCATGTGATATTTTCTTTTCAGTCCTTTCACTTTTAACCTACCAGTGTCTTGTGCTTCAGATATGCCTCTTGTACATAGTGTGTAGATGGTTCCTTTTCTTTTTAATACACATTGTGTCTTGGCTGGAGTATTTAATCTATCTATATGTATGGTAATTACCGATTAAGAAGGCCTTAGTGCAGCCATTTTGATGCTTTTGTGAGTTTCTGATAATATTCTTTAAGAAGCCTTGGTGGCAGAGTGGATCACGAGTTGGGCTGCTAGCCACAAGGTGAGCAGTTCAAAACCACCGGCAGCTCAGGGTGGACGAGGTTTTCTGTTCATGGAAAGATGTACAGCCTTGGATGCACTCCGGGGCAATTCTACTTTGTCCTCCAGGGTCGCAATATGTGGAAACAGACTCAAAGCCAGGGCATTTGGTTTGAGTTTTCAGTGGTCTCGTGGGTTACACACTGAGCTGCTGACTGAAAGGGCAGCAGGTTGAACCCGTCACTCAGAGGGAAAGCTTGAGGCTGTCTGCTCCCACGCAGATTTACAGCATCAGAAACCCAAAGGGTGCAGTCCTATAGGGATACTCTGAGTCAGAATTACTCGATGGCAGTGGTGTGGCTGGGTTTGTACATTCTCAGAGGAGCCACAGTGGCCCAGTGGTTTAGCACTCAGCTGCTAACTGAAGGTCAGCAGTTCAAATCCACTAGTCACTCCCTCGGGAAGAAGTGACAGTTGGTTGGAAAGACAGCTTTGGAAACTCTATGGAGAAGTTTTTTGGTTTTTTTTAATAATTTTTATTGGGGCCTTGTACAACTCTCATCATAATCCATCCATCCATCCATCCATTCATCCATCCATCCATCATGTCAAGCATATTTGTACATTTGTTGCCATCATCATTCTCAAAACATTTGCATTCTACTTGAGCCCTTGGTATCAGCTCCTCATCTGTAGAGTATTAACTACAATGACTTCCAGTAGGGTCGCTATTAATTGGATTCAGCTGATACTTTCTCTGCGATCTTTTCAGTATCTCAGACCCCGCAATGCCCGGTCTCAGAGCCTGGCTTGTTTGAGAGCAGAAGACAGAAGCTGGAGAGGAAGGGAAGCCGCAAGCCCACAGCCCACATCTCCAGGTGACTCACACACTGCCCCTACTGACTTTCTTGCTCCACCCGCCTGTCTATGGCTGCCCTCTCCTCGGTGAGAAGTCCCTTCTGCCCTCAGTGCTCTCGGGCACATCTGTTTGCCGGAAAGGGCTGGGAGAATGGAGCTAGGAAGGTTGGCGCTGGTGCAGTACCTCCGGGGCGTACACGGACATGCCCATGAGTTCACACAAGTGTGCATACTCCACGTTGGTCAGGCCTGCCCCGTACTTTTTCTCAGGATCTGCCTCCAAGGGTAGGAATAGGTTCCAGAGTCCTTCTGCCTTGGCTTTTTCCTGTCGTGGGATAAGGAGTTCAGGGAACCACATGGAGTTGACTGACCCACAGAAAACCCCCTGGGACAGAGGAAGGGAGGCAGACAAGCAGGCCAAGAGGACCTGGATGCTCGGCAGCCCCAGTCCGCACCACAGCTCTCTCACTGCCTTGAGCCCTTCCCCGAGTCTCCAGACTTGCCAGCCCCCTCCTTCCCCTCTTCTCCTCCCCGCACCGCACCATCACCACCGTGTTACTGCTGCTGTAACCATGATCCTATCGGAACCGGCTCCCAGATAAGCAGATGGTGCAGGAGCGAAGCTGCCACCTGGAAGGCTGGAGGTCTGAGTCCTCCCAGAGGTAGCTCAGAAGAAAGGCCTGGTGATCTACCCCCCACCCAACCTGCCACAAAAATGCTGTAGAGCCCAGTTCCATGAGTCCTTCTGACTGAGGCACAATGTCCCCCTTACCTGCAACCTCAGCACCTCTGCAGTGTGGACAAGCCACCCCTGAGCACGTCTCCTGGTGAGACAGGGGGTGGGGGGAACTTTACCCCTAGGACAAGTACGGCCTGGTTTTCCTCACTGTGGTACCTACCTGGGGTTGGGGGTGAGGGGACAGCCAACCCAGTCTGTCCAGAGCCAGACCCTGCCCCTACTCATGCTGACATCGGAGCTGAGTGTCTGCTTCCTCCTAACACGTCTGTCCCCAGCACTCAGGATGGGAGTGGGCTGAGTACAGGGGAAAAGGGACTGGTGGGAAGGGGCGCCCGGAGCCCTCATATAGGAACACGAGTGCAAGGCTCAGCAGTGGGCGGAGCCAGGGATGCCTAGAGGCCCACGCTGGACGGGTCTGGCCATAATTTGTATCTTCTTTGTCTCAACAAATCAGCCGGGCAGTGGGTGAGTGCCAACTGGTTCCAGCCTTGCTGCCACCCTGCTCACTGTCTCAACCCCACAGGAAAGGAGAGTGCTGGCCCAGCTGGGCTTACACGCCCACTTGTCTCCAAAGAAACTGAGGCACTGCTACCAAGAGAAGGGAGAAAGGACACCAGGCAGTCCAAACCTATCAGATGCCCACAGCCCCAGCGCCAGGAGCTCATACAGGTTGGCAGACTGTACTTGGCACTGGGCACCCCCAGTGATGTGTCTCATCATCCCCTCTACTTCCAGTCCTGGCCTCAGGGTCAGGAGCCGGCTCTGCCCTGGCACATGGGAGGATGGACAGGGTCACAGGACAGGAAGGAGCATGTGTGAAGCCGGGGTTCAGAGAGGAGGCAGAATAAGGAAAGGAACAGAATCATCTCTTCTCCTGAGGTGGAGAGTCCCAAGTGGTGAGCCCGGATCCAGACCCGAATCCGTGCCCTGGTCTCTATTAGTTGTGTCTCTGACACACTACCTGTTTCCTGACCTTTGGGTGGAGGCCAGCGTCACCGACCTGGCAGGACCTGGCACTGTCCCAATACTCTTCTCAGTTATGGACGGTCACTTCATGTAGGGTACAACTCCCACCCTAGAGTGTCCGCCCTCTCCCCATTACCTTGAGGGCCTCGATCAACGGGGAGGGAGTCCACCGCTGCGCCGAGGTCTGGTGGTCCCGCAGCTCCTGCTCCACGGGGTACACATGCTGTTCCATGAAGCGTGAGAGCTGGTGGTACAGCTCCTGGACAGGCCGGGGCAGGCCCTCGGGGGAGATGACCAGGGCTCCTTTGGAAGGTTCTGGAAAGGAGCTGTAGCACCTCACGCCTGTGGTGCGCAGCAGGGTCTGTGCGCTGGCCCAGGTGTGAAAGGACCTCGACGATGGCCTCGTGGCTGGCATCTCCTTGAAAACCCGGAACCCTTCTTTGACGGCAAAGTCCCACGCCAGGTTTGACGTAAATTCCACCAGCTTCCCGCTGTGCTCAGCCGTGGCTGAGCTCGCCTGCCCTGAGCAGAACCAGAGGAAACCGGGATCACTGCTGTGGTCAGGGCCTACTGGGTCAGCAGCTCTCCCACCACCGTCACCGAGCCTTGCACTGGACCAGACAGTGCCTGAGGGTAGGTATGGTGTGGCTGCGGCTGTGGCCGTCCTGTGTGGATCAGACTCCTAATGACCCCGGGAGGCAGAGTAGTTCTGCCCTGGTTCCCCAGGCTGCCATCTCTGCAGGAGCAGATCTTCCCCCAGCCAGAGCTGTTGGGTGGTTTAAACCGAGTACAACACAAGGGCCCCTGAGTACTGCTGTGTATCTGAGCGTTGTCCTGGGTGCTTTCTGCAGCAGTGCTCCTGGATTAGATTTAGCATCTCCGTGTCCTAAAGAGACTGTGGCCCTTATCTTCTTTGTATCAGCAAGTCAACCTTCACCAGGGCCTAGTCCCACCCACCCACCCACCCACCCAGTTCCTGCCACAGCAGGCGGGCAGCCCTCCAAAGAGAGCATTCATCCACCATGCAGGCGTTAAAGGTGTTGGCGTGATTCTCTGCAAGTCAGGAGCCAGAGTTTTGTCCTCCCAAGCAGAGCATGCAGCCCACTGGACCTCTCGGCGGGTATTTACTGAGCACCTGCTGGGTGCCGGCTTCGGAGCCAGACAGCACCTCCCCAGGGGGGCACAGGGACTGCAAGGCCCTTGAGCAAGGTGGGGTGACAGTGCCCCTCAGAGAGGAACTTTTAAAAGGTGCTGCCCAGTGGCCTAAGACTGCTGGCGCCGCTGCTCCCCACTGACATGTCTCTCATTTGGGGTAGAAGATTGCCACACCTTCCCCGCCCCCAGGCCCGTGGGAGGGCTTGAGCCTTCCATCTTTTGGTTTCCCCCAGGGCCCCTGAGCACTGGGACACCAGGGGTCCTTATAGGGAAGATCTCTAAACCCACTGCCATCGAGTCGATCCCAGCAGACAGCAACCTCCGTCTGCAGGGTTTCTGGGGCTTTCTAAATCTTGATGGGAGCGAGAACTTCCTCTTCTCCCTCGGAGTAGCGGGTGGCTTTGAACCATGGGTCTTGCTGTTAGCAGTCCATCACTTACCCACCAGCACCACTGGGGCTCCCAAAAGGAAGACGCCCTGCTCTTCAATTCATTATGATTCACACCGAGTTTCTTTTTCGAACCCAGGTCATGAATCACCTTCGTAACTATCTTCTTCCTAACGGGATCTTGGGCTCCACGTGCCGGGGAACCCGGTAGTACCATGGGCCCAGGGCTGGGCTGCTAACGGAGAGGTCAGCCATTCAGACCCACCAATCCTTCCTCAAGAAGATGAGGCTGTCTGCTTCCATGGGAATTAGTCTTGGAAACCCTACGGGGCAGTTCTACTCTATAATATTGGGTGGCGATGGGTCAGGGCTCAGTGGCAGTGGGTTGGGCTGGGTTACTCCGAGGGGTGCTTTTGTCATCTCCTGGGAGGTCCCCTGTATGAGCTTGGGTTGTTTAAAAATGACCACGTCTGCTATATTTTCCCAACTGCGGTCCCAAGCAGGAGAGAACACGTCAATGGAGCCACCAAATGCCAACCACGAGCACGTCTGCCTTTCTGGAATTTGAACGGCCAGCTCCAAGAAGCCTTAAAATGAACATGTGATGTGTGTGGTACAGACTATAAATAAGGACCTGTCCCCTCACCCCACTTCTCTGAGCTCCACTTTCCCCTGGCAGTACCAACAGAACAAAGACGTCAATGGCTGTCTGCACAGACAAGGACAGATGTACGTCCCTGCTCTTATTGGTGGGGGAGCCCTTCTTCTTCTGGGAGGTTTCAATACTACTTGCTTTTTTAAAAAAATGGATGTAGTCGTTTTCTTGTACAAAAACGAAGCTGCTTCTCCCCTGTATCTGGCTGGCTTCCTGGGTGGGAGAGGAGGGGGAGCCTGGAGAGAGCTCGTACCTCCCTTCGGTGAGCCCTGAGAAGTCAAAGGACGCCATCAAACAGCTCCCAGATGGGCCAGGTAAGGGCGAGCCAGCAAGTTTAGAAGAGCAGACAGTCTAAAATGAGGTCTAGAAAGGCTTTTCTTTTTGGAATAAATTATTACTATATTGGAAAGAAGTGACTTTAATTTTGCAATGGAAAGTAAAATCGTATTTGTTAGAGTAGGAAATGCCAGAACTGAGGTGATTGGTGAGATGGCGAGGAGCCCTGATGGAGTAGTGGTTGAGTATTGGGCTGGTAACCAAAAAGCCAGCAGTCTGGAAACTAGCCACTATGTGGGAGGGAGACAGGGCTTTCCACTACTGTCCTGCAAGCTCACCCGGGGCAGTTCTCACCTGTCCTGCTGGGTCACCCTGGGTCGGCATAGGCTCGATGGCAATGGAAGGTGTCCTAGCAGCCTAGCCCTTAGATCTGTTTTAAAACGGGGGTTTGATCTGTTATAGACAGTACACTTCACCAACATGCCCCGTACGACGACGGTTCCCCTTTCGTATTAGCGAATTCTCTTTCAATTACTATATCTCATCTTTTCATATGAAATAGAGGCTCCATGAACAACGAGATCACTACAAGAAAAGTTCAGAATCTTAAAAACCCATTTTCTTGTTTTTAAACCTTCCCTGAGGGATAGCGCACAGCAGAAACCTTCCCCAGGGAACGGGCCACAGCCAGCCCTTGCCCCAGGGCACCAGCACATCCTCTGCGAAGTGGGGCTGAGAAGGCACAAAAAGACTTTTCTCTACGACTGAACGTGTGCCCTGTTTTTAAAATATGTTTAAAATATGGTTTTATTTTCAAATTTTGTGTGTTATTTTAATAACTGAAAAACCATGGGTGAACCAGCAAATCAAAAGATTCGGTAGGCAGCTCTGGTGGGCAGTGGGTGTGTGTTAATGGGCAGGAGCAGTCCTAAAGAGCAGGGCGGGGAGACATCATTGCTCCAGTGACGTGTGAGGGAAACGGGGTCTGTTCCCCACGACGGTAACAATGTCCAGTGTTGTAAGAAGACAGAGCATGCAGACCGTCTGTGACAAATGGCTGAATTAGCTGACTCTTAAGGCCATTCGGCCCAATCAATGCTTGAAAGTCTCTGCCAAATGTCCAGGCTTCCGGGCTGGAGATCCCTCCCCTCTCCAGCGCCAGCTGGGACTCCCCATGGAAGGGCCTTTGTGGGGGTGCTCTCTGGTACCTGTGAGCGAGCGCTTGTAGACCCCCTGCAGGATGGCGGCCACGCGGAAGAAGGAGAAGGCCATGTAGAAGTTCCAGTTCTCCACCAGTGGGATCCCCATGTGATGACAGTACATCCTGAAATGCTCCTCTGCCGCAGGGATCCCCAGCTGACTCAGGTCGCGGCCACTCAGACCTGGGGTGACAGAGCCACCCCGGGGGAGTCACTCTCCGCTCCCCACGGGCTGGCTAGCACGTAAACTGGGAAAAATCACTCTTGCACAGTTAGCTCAAGGGGTGAGCCCGTTATTTCAGAGGATCTCTGCCCTCAGGAGGCAGGGCACTCAGGCCTGAAGCTGTGGCTCACAGATCAGCCCTGCAAGGGTTAAAAGTAAATCTGGAGTTGGGGGGGACGGGGCGGTGACTTGGACTTCCACAGCTCAGGTGGACAAATTCAACCTTCGCCTGGCATTGAAAGAGCAATCCCAAATGATAGCAACGACAAGCAGGGGAGCGAACACTTCTGCTGGTTCGGGTCACGTCACTTGTACCTTCTTCTGGTTCAGTGTGTTGTCCCTGGGGTTGATCCCAGGAGTTTATTTTCTGGGGGGCACAGATACTGCCACACAGACATTTGCTGCTACACTTGGAGTGGGGAGAGGAGGGTAATACAAATTTTTTAAAATCTAGAAACAAATTAAATATCAAACCATCTTGACCTGGTCTGATCATTCAAACTGAATGTCTTGACTACGTTAATTAGGACAATCTAGACAAAAAAGTGCCGTGTTGTTATTAAAAAATGCTGCTGCAGAAGCAACATTAAACACAGTCTAAGAATATGTTGAAAATAACACAACTTGGGAAAAATGCAGGGTAATCCCATCCTTGCTTCTGAAGCGTGCGGGGACAGCCAGGCTTGGCAGACAAGGATGGGGCTGAGCTGTCAGCAGGAGCTCCTTGGGGTGACTGACCCTTCGATGCTGTGGCTGGCTGTGGTGCCAATGCTTTCACCACAAACTTGAATTTTAAAAATTAAATACAAGTTAGTTGATGAGCACATAAGAGGGATCAATAAGCACACACTATTTTCTTAAAATCCATGCTTCCCTGCTTCCCCCAGTTGTGCAGGGAACACACTCAGGTTGCAGTAACCACCACCGGACCAGGGTGGCAGTGTCAAGCCCATGCGGGCCCCAGCCCTGGAGATCCCTACCTTGGAGCATTGCGAAACCTGATGGCAGGTAGTGAGCCAGGCAGCTGTAGGCCACGTCCGCCAGGGGGTCGCCCAGGGTAGACAGTTCCCAGTCGAGGACAGCGAGCACCTCGTTCTTCTCCGGATGGAAGATCAGGTTGTCGAGCCTGAGTAAGGCACAGAGGAGTGAGAAGCCACTCAAGAAGAGGGTGGAGGGTCCCCGGCACCAGCAGGGTTCCTTACTCCACCTCTCTCTGTCGAGAGCTGAGGAGGGGAGGATCCCTCCCCTGCCTGAGGGTCCAGCTTGCCTCTCTGTGGCTATCACTAGGGTTCTAGTCATTTCTTCCTTCCCATGACAGTTTTTTGGAAGAAAAAATCAGAATTAACTCCAGGGCACTAGGTTTGCTTTGGTTTGGAGTGATGACCTTAAACTCAAACCAAAGCAGACCCACTGCCATCAAGTTGACTGTGGTAACTATATAATCATTTGTCAATTTGAGAGGATTATGAGTGAAAGGATGAAGTCTGGCCTGTCAGTCAAGATATAACCACGATATAACCACGAGGCCTCTGTGTGGGCATGGCCTTCTCCTGAGAATTCTGGGAAATCCTGTATTTCTTCCTTGGAGGCGGGAGACACTTTTCTCTCTCTGCTCACTCCCTGGGAGACATTGCAGCCCACAAGACACATGGAACTACACTAGTGCCCTGAGCTGGAGAAGCCACATGGACCTGCCCTGATGCAACCAGACCTCTGAAGCTGCATAGAAACCCTGCCAGCGCTGAGATGTTGACAACGCCACTGGATCCAAAGACTTTCTACCCACTGGCCTGTGATCATCCTGCATTTGGCGTCCTTGCATGTGTTTCACGAGTCTTAAGAGGACTTTATAGACTGGTATCGGACATATGAGCAAATATCAGACTTCTGGGCTTGACCTAGACTGGCTGGGATGTTTTCTCAGTATTCAACTGCTCTTGTATATAAACCTCTTTCTATACACATGAGTGTCTATGGATTTGTTTCCTAGTCTACCCAGTTAACACCTTGATCCTGACTCATAGTTTCTGAGAACTGGCAGGAGCAGCCTGCCTCATCTCTCTCCCTCGGAGTGGCTGGTGAGTTTGAACCACTGACCATTCAGTTAGAGCCCAGTACTTACCTGCAGTGCTACCAGGGCTCCTTGGCTTTAAAGCCAGGTCGACATATTTTCTGACATGTCTCCCACAAAAGCTTAATTCTTCTCCACTCAAAGACCCTGGCATTTAACATTGTGGGGCAAGATTAGGATGGGTGATTGAAGGTTAGGTCAGAACATGGTGATACAAGTTCTGCCTGACTCTCTCTCTCAGAATGAGCAGCTACAAGCCAGGAGCTACCAGGTAAGAAGTCCAGCACCCCAGAAGCCATCAGCCAAGACCACATAGAGAAACCAGGGAGAGAAGGAGACACAGAGCAGCCCAGCTGGTCATGTGAGTGAACCTCCAGGTAATTCCAGCCCAGTCTGTCTGTCTGTGAACCACCCCCATATTGAGGCAAGCTCCTGTTCCCAGGTGGCAGGATCCTGAGCAAAGTAATTGCTGTCATTGTTTCAAGCACTACAATGACACAGAGAGGTTTGCAATGCAGTAGTGATAGCTGGAATACCCACTTGCCCTTCAGACCTATGGCAGACAGAACAACCCAAACCACGGCCATTGAGTCAATTCCAACTCACAGAGAACCACCCTATAGGTAGAGTAACACGGCCCTACAGGGTTTCCAAAGCGGGAATCTTTGTGGAAGTAGACTGTGGTAGTTAATTAATCTGACAGGATTAAGAGTGAAGGGGTGGAGTCTAGTCTGTCAATCAGGTCATAGCCAATGAGGCCTCTGTGCAGGCATGACCTTCTCCTGAGAATTCTGGGAACTCCTGGATTTCTTCCTTGGAGGTGGGAGACTGACTCTCTCTCTCTCACTGCCCACTCCCTGAAAGATGCTCTACTGACAGGACACATGACACTACACTGATAGACCCTGTGCTCTGGGAACTGGAGGAGCCACATGGAGATGCCTGCCAGCGCTGAGATGCTTACAACGCCACTGAATCTGCAAGACTTCCCACCCACTGATCCTGCATTTGGCGTCATTCTCGTGTTTCCTGAGTCTGGAGGACTTTATAGATTGGTATCGGACATATGGGCTAATATCGGGCTTATGGACTTGATCTGGACTGGGCTGGGATGCTTTCTCAACATTCAACTGCTCTTATATATAAAACTCTTTCTATATACATATCCGTGTCTATGGATTTGTTTCTCTAGTCAACCAGGACTAACATATAGACTGCCACATCTTTCTCCCTTGGGGTGGCTGGTGGTCTTGAATCCTTGATCGTTAAGTTCACAGCCAAGCACAGTAACTACTGTACCACCTTAGGTGGGGTATTAACTCCCAGCTGTTGCTGGGCCTATAGTTTCTCAGAATCCTGCTTCACTCAGTCCTATTTCCTCCCCAGACTCTGACAAGCTTGGTAAAAAATTTTTTACATCTCAAACATGCAGAGTATTTCAGAGGATAGACCCATTTTCCAGACTTAACACAGGTCAACACTTGGTCAAACTTGACTCCGTTTTTGTTTTTGTTTTTTAATTTATGAATTTGGCGACTGGCCTCCCTTCTTTTCCTCTCTCTTCTGCCCCACAAATAACTGCTAGCCTGAAGTTGGAATGATCGGTCCCTGACAGCTTAATCTATAACCTGTTCTTGCGACTATTCTAAAATGTACACAGACGCTATCACACTGTGTGTGTCCTTCGGCTCTCACTCCTCCAGCATTCTCTCTGAGATTTATCTATCGTGAGTTACACATATGCTCAACTCATTGGTTTGTTTGACCTGCTGAAGAGAATTCCAAGTGCACTCCCATCATGAGTGTGGCCCAAAGGCCATCCTGCGTGACCTCCTAGTGCACAGGAGCCAGCACTTTTCTAGAAGCTGAACTGGGGGCTGTCGACGAGGCCACCTCCACCCTTACTGGTTATTGCTTTTCACAAGAGACTGAACTCAGGACAGCTTCGGCCAGCTCTAGCAAAGGATAACAAACCCACTGCCACTGAGTCAATTCTGACTCATACGGGACTCTATGAGTCCCCTATGAGAAGGTCCCCTGATTGAGGCTGTAAATCTTTACAGGAGCAAACAGCCTCAGTTTTCTCCCAAATTACGGTGGGTGGGTTTGAACTGACATGCTTGTGGTGGCTAGCAGCCCAACACCTAACCCACAGAGACACCGGACTCCTTGGCATGAAATATAGCCCCCTGCAGAGTTGAGTCCTTAATGGGCAGTTCCACACTCCACCACTCTTGGTCACTCCCTGGCTAAGACACGTCCTTTCATCTACCAATGGCTGGCGATGTCCTTGACTGTAAGCATCCATCACAAAGCAGGAGAGGGCTCTGAAAGCATCTTTGTGGGTGTCACAGTTGCAGTGAAGAGAGAAGGTGTGCAGATCACTTTGTGACTCTCCTGCCTGCTGTGCAAGTGGATGCTTGAACACAAAAGGAGGCAAGGACAAGGTCCAGAGCATAAGGACTGGTGATAGAAAGCCGATTGCTGGTCTTCCTGCAAAAGGAAATGGGTTGGAATGGGTGACAACGGGATGCACTGTTGGACCAGTACTCCCAGGCCCGAGTGGCTGGTGGGGAGGGAGGGGACTTGGATGCAGCCCTTTGAGTGCCCAGTTACAGCAGCATGAAGCACTTGGAGAGACCCAGGAGCAGGCAGGCTCAGCTTGTGATGGTTACCTATGGCAAGGCCCAGCTGGTCATACTATGAGCTGGTCATTCAAGGATGTCACCAAGGATGTCCAGGGAGGCAGCTGGCAGTGAGTCACAGAGATCAACCATGGAAGAAAGGCAGCCCAACTTGGAAAGCTGGGGCGGGTCTGGAACACTAGTTTTTACCTCTGAGACCCTACAGGAAAGGGTAGAACTGCCCCTGTGAGTTTCTGAGACTGTCACTCTCTGCAGGAGTAGAAAGCCCCAGCCCAACTCATAACCCACCATGCTGTCTGTGGCCTACACCAGGGCTGCTTTGACCTTCGAGCCAGCTTAATAACAGGGTCCCCTCCTGATGGGTGGGGGCCGAGGGAGGCGAGACCTCACCTGCCTGGGGAAATTGAACACATTTAAGACAACAACCTGAGCATCCTGAGCAGTTCTCAAAGCCAGACCCTGCAGGGGCACCTCCGGAACCCATGTTGGCTCCTTTTGTTACACACACACACACACACACACACACACACACACACACACACACACACA